CCCCCCTACTGGGGGGGCCCCCCCCGGGGGCCCCAGGGGCCCCGGGGGGCCCCCAGATGGGGAGCCCCCGGGAAAGCCCCGTCCGGCAGCACTACGGGGGGCAGCTGGGCAGCAGCGGGGAAACTTCTTTTGTTGCTTTAAAGGGCAGCAGCAACGAAGAAGAAGGAGAAGAAGAAGAAGAACCAGAAGAACCAGAAGAAGCACCAGCAGCAGCAAAGAAAGAACCCGCAGCTGCTGCAGCAAAAAGCGAGGAAGCCAAGTCCGAAACGGAGACAGAAAAAGAAATTGAAAGCAGCGAAACAGAACCCAAGGGGGGCCCCACAGAGGGCCCCCATGGGGGCCCCAAGGAGGGGCCCCAAGGGGGCCCCCAGGGGGGCCCCGAGGGGGGCCCCCCCAAGGGGGCCCCCGAGGAGGAGAGGCCCCAGAATGCGCCGACTCTGATAATGCTGCCCGAACTGGAGCCAGATGCATGCGAAAATGTTAAAGACCCTGTGGCTTGCATGCAAAAGCCAGGTTGTTTTCAAGATTTTATTTATGGAGTTTGTTTCTTTAATTGCACTGCTGTAGAGACACCCGAGGAGTGCAACAAACATGCCTTCTGCAGGTTCGAGACCCAGGTGCCCCAGAACGCATGCGTCAACGAAGGTGCGCTGCTGCTGCTGCTGCTGCTGCTGCTGCTGCTGCTGTTGCTGTTCGTTCTTCCAGTTTGCTGCTGCTGACGCTGGTTCCTCCGCCGCTGTTTGTATTGCCGCTAGCTGATGCAGGAGTGTGCCTCTTTGCCGCATCTTTTTGCTGCTGCTGCTGCTGCTGCTGCTGCTGCTGCAGGGTACCAATCAGCGGACGCAGTGGCGCAGCGATTCGAAGGCATTATTCGCGGCTGCGAACATTTCACAAAGAAGTCCACTTGCGACTGGATGCATGCGCATGCACTGCAGCAGCAGGAGCAGCAAAAGAAGCGTCCCCAGGGGCCCCCCGGGGGGGCCCCCGGGGGGGCCCCCGGGGGGCCCCCAGGGGGCCCCCTGCCGGGT